GGTTTATTAAGCGGAGCTCCGGGTCGACACATATCTCTCGCAGGAGACAGAGGAGTCGACCCCGGACCTTAAAGGGCAAATTCTTATATAGGGTTTGGAAGCACAAAGCGGGAAAAGGTTGGCACGGTCTTACATGATTGGCTAATTTAAAACATTTAAACAGTTACATTTTATGGCGCGAATTGCTATGGCGCGAAGCGATTATCAGGTTACACACACGCGTCCCCATCTGGACCCCCTCCACCCCGACCCTCCCAAACTTATCCCTCTGGAGCACTCTCTTGTTCTCAATTCTTCCCCGAACAGTTTAGGGTGGGTCTTTCATGAATAGAGTCAGTCAGGATCGATAAACGTTCCCCCCTATACCAGGAATCCTTAGGGCGTGGAGGTGCCTGTCTCTAAGGTAGTAACTTTTTAATTTTTAATACAATTTTTACTTCCTTCAATATACCCTGTTGGGTGCCCACCTGCAGTCCCTTCCTGCTGAGCCTCAGCTCCGGGAGCTACCACAGCTTCAGCTATGAGGAGGAAACTGGGATCTACATAGGAGCCTCAGGGATACATACCTTCAAATTAGCATTGAAGGTACGTGGAAATTTCTGGCTGCCTCTTCCCATTTTCCTTAAGAATGACTCAGCTGCTTGCCATGGAATACAATTGTTATGGGGGTGGGAGGAGACAGAACTGAGAAGGAACTGTGATTTGTAAGCGAAGGGAGAAGGATTTTGTATTTGTTGATTCATCTTTGACTGTTGATACAGAATGTTCAAATGCATTCCAAGGAGCTAAACCTGAGATCCTGCACTGGCCATTCCTGTACCAGTTGTAATGACTGAGTCATGAAATTCTCCCAAGATTCATCCAGCTAGAACAGTCTCTGCATTTCCTTGATGTCTCAGTACCACAAGACTCCTCGGGATGGGACTCCTGAGATTGGTGACTCTCAGGGAGTTGCCCTCATGCTTTGAGGGAAGTGACCAGGCCATGAACTTACGGCTATTCTCTGTCATCACAGGATGGGTGCTCTGCGTGAGGGGCCTGCAGAGCACCTGATCTCACGAGGAAAAGGAGGGGTGAGAGACAGGAGCAACTCATCAAAGTGGAGGTGAGATTAATGAGCTCCATCTCTATGTCTTGTGTGGAGCCTTCCAAGACAGGCAGTCAGAGATGGGACTAGGGCAAAGCCTGAGAGACATCCACTGGTGTTTCATGAAGAACAGCGAAAACTGCCCATTGACAGTCATCGACAAGGATGTTTTGATCCTTTGAAACGTGCCCAAAGTGCATGATTTTTCAACTATTGCTTTTTCAACTATTGTTCCCTCCTCTCTCCCCCACCCTCCCACCTCATTCTCTTACCTTCCACCCCCACCCCCACCACCACCAATGACTCATGGTTGCAACCCATAGGGAGGTAAATGGCTTCCATGCTTGCAGTTGTCATAAGGGCAGGGCTTGTTTCTGATAACCACAGACATGGAAAAATAAATATTCATTTTTGCAGCAAAGTCTAAACCTCAACATCTTATTTTTTACATGCCCCATGGCACTTGAATTCTGTATGGGGACCATTTGTCATAATTAATTGTTTATGTTTGTTTGATCTGCTAGACTGCACACTCCCTGAAGAAAGATACTGTACCTCTCCTTTTCACTGTTCTATTCCCACTGCTGACCATGGTGCCTGGCCCACAATTGTTGCTGATAAAAGAAGGAACAGTCCCAGATTGCTAGCTACAAGCTGGCCTGGTTCTAACAGCTTGACCACATGTTCTCTGGTTGAATATAAACAAATTCACAGAACTCCAACGTCAGACAACCTAACTCTGTGACCATGAGGGAGCAAGACAAAAACAAGACCACTCTGAGCACCAATAAGACCAGTGTCCAAACCATAAAGATGACCAAACATCCCCTTTTCTCAGCTAACATGAGGGATTACTACTTCTTTACCAATTACAGCTTTGCCCCATTGCTCCTGCTTTCTAGTTAAAAATTACAGTCGTCCCTTAGTAACTGTGGGGAATTGGTTCCAGGAACCCCTGGAGATACCAAAATCCATGAATGCTCAATTCCTTTACATAAAACAGCATAGTACTTGCATATAACATACACACATCCTCCCATATACTTTAAATCATCTCCAGATTACCTATAACACCTGAAACAATGTAAATGCTATGTGAATAGTTGTTATACTGTATTATTTAGAGAATAATGACAAGGAAAAAAGTCTGTACATGTTCAGTACAGATGCGACCACCATAGGCCTTTCAATCCATGGTTGGTTGAGTCCTTGGATGTGGAACTCTTGGGTAAGGAGAACTAACTGTCTTAAGATACCCTATCACGGAAATGCCCCTTTCTGACTGCATCCAACCCAGAGCAAAGCTTCCCTTTCTTGAACTCTCCCCAAAATTACCTAACATAAGCCCAAATCCTGTAATAAGCACCTCTTTATGTTTCCCCATGGTGTACCGTCTCCCTCATTGCAACAAGCCAGTCAACACAACTTTGTTCTACTACAGGTATGTTCTTGGTTCTTTTTGGATGGGAAATATTGGTGATGGTCAATAAAAGGTTATTAAATGAAGGAATAAAAATGAATAACTTAAAGGAGAAGGAATTTCATAGGGGCCTGGTGGTGGCAGTCAAGAAGGGAAGGGGGCTCAGGGAAAATGTTGGACCTATGAGAAGAAAGACAGAACTTGGTGTCTCTATCCAGAGTCACAGACCAGGGACCAGGGTGGACGTTTGAGGTGGTCCAGAGTTCCCCAGTAGCATGCCTTCATTAGCATGGCCTCCTTCGCACCTAGCATTCTCTTAGTCTTCATCACCAACAAAACTGGGAGAAATAACTAGGAGGTTTTCAATACTTTATGTCCCTCTTCAGCTTTATCATGCAGTCTGATATGAGAAAGTATCTATTTCACACTTCATGAGTAATTCTTTCCAATGCACTATCAATTGGTGGGGTCCTCAACGATGTGAGGAAAATGGACACCCTAGCAGAGTCCTGGGGCTATGCCTACAAATATCCCTTCACCAAGAGAGGCCTTCTGGGGACAGAAGACTATCAGAGAGGAAGGTCAATGCCAGCTCTAACCCTTTTCCCCTTCCTCCATCCTAAGCCTCCATTCCTTGAGACTCAGTGCAATTCATTCTCTCACAGGTATCTCAAAATAAATCATGGAGTCCCTATGTTTTAAAGTGGGAAAGTTTGAAGTGCATGCTCTTATAAACAATTTTGTGTCTAAAAGTGATAAACCATAGACTACAGAAAAGAATCACATATATTTACCATAAAAATATTTTATTTAAATTAACAATTAAATTTGAATGTTTAATGTTCTGTTGTGTTCTAACCATAATCTTTTGGAAACAAAAAGCAAAATGCACTTATCATGATAGTAGAGATGAAGTCAATGGGAAATAAGAGCCAAGGGGAAAATAGAATTCAGATTTTATTTTAAAATATCATCATATACAAACCTTAGAAAGGATCAGATCTATTCTATTAAATGTGATGCATACAATGTCACCACCATCATCAACGTCATCATTAGCAACATGTTGAACAAATCATCTCCATGACCCCATCAATTATCTAAACTATTTCACACTTATAGATCATTTCATTTTCTTATAATCAATATTATTACATCCCACAAAAAAATAAATATAGACAAACTGGATCTTTCTCATACTAAATATGAGTCTTGAGTCTTGTGATCTCAACTATTGTTAAGACCTTTTGATATTTTGTCTGTTCAATTGTAAAATCCTACTTTAGTCCTCTTCAGGGCTCCACCTACCCCAGATAGGGCCTGGGTCCTATCCTCCATCCATTACCTAACATGTCTCATTCCCAGGGTCCAGTGGTCTCAGATAACCCAACAACCCCAGAAATCAGGAGCTGATTACATCTGAAAAAAATCATTACCCTTGGGAATATGCAGAGCAATAGGAAACTGAAGTCCAAAAAACAGAGGTATTTGGAGACATTTGTATCACAAGACAAATCACACGATAGCAGACATATTATGTTTTCTTCTCTGATGTCTATCCAGTTAAACTTGAAATTCTCAAGGTCAGGAAATGTGTCATGTACATGTCTACATCCTCACTGCCCAGCAAAAATGCAAGGAGCAGAGCTGATGTTAAAGCATCTGAGCCAAATGAGTGAAAGGAGAAATGGCAGATCCCCAACACACCTGGGGAGTAGTTATCAAGATTTCCTGGTTCCCTCTTGCCAGACATCTTGGCAAGCATGCAGGAAGAAGCTGGAGACCCGGGATGGGAGTGTGTGGTGCTGTCACCCTCCCCCTGGTTGTGAAAGAGCAGCATGCTCGGGCTGTGCATCACAAAGCCAGTACAGGATAAAAGGACTCCTGCCCAGGGCTCCTCATCCACAGCCTCCTCAGGAGCAGCCTTCTCCTGCCTCTTCTGCATCCGGTGAGTGTTTGGAAGGGGACAGAACCTCAGCCGGGAGTGTTGGAAAGACAACCTCAGACTTTAGTTGGGAAGGGGGAAGCAGAGGTGTCTGTGGAGACAGCAAGAAGAGAACCTTGGAGGGCAACTGGGGACAGGGCAGACACACTGAGAAAGGAACTTCTGTGGTCTGTGACATCAGGGTCTGTGACACACCAGAGCCTTGGCTCTCAGCATCCGTTCCACTCTTTATCCTGAAAGATGCACACATGCCCAGGGATATTCTCCAGGACTCATTACCCAACTGGGTGTATTTGCTTCTATTTTTCTATAAAGACAGACAGACTTGGGGCCCTGTTAAAAGATAGCATTGGTTTTGGAAGGAGGGTCAAGTGAGGGAAATGTCTTGCCAGGTCAGCTTAACTTGAGATTGGTTTCCATTTTCCTCCTGAAGATCACAGTTTAGAAAGCAGCTGGTATTAGGAGCAAGGGCTTTATAAAACCATTCATAGAGGAGACATTGGCCTGGAGCCTTTGCGCTGACCATTTCCTTATTTCATCCAGGCTCACTCACCTCCTGCCGAGATGTCCTGCCAGCAGAATCAGCAGCAGTGCCAGCCTCCTCCCAAGTGCCCCTCACCCAAATGCCCCCCGAAGAGCCCAGCACAGTGTTCCCCTCGAGCCTCCTCAGGCTGTGCTCCAAGCTCCGAGGGTGGCTGCTGCCTGAGCCACCACAGGCGCCGCAGGTCCCACCGATGCCGACGACGGAACTCCAACTCCTGTGACAGGGGCAGTGGTCAGCAGTCCGGGGGCTCCGGCTGTGGCCAGGGCTCTGGGGGCTGCTGCTGATCTGGGCTCTGGATGCTGAGACAAGCAATTTTAGAGGAAACAAAAATTCCAAGGACCATCTCAGCCTGGTGTGTTCCCTCTCAATATCCGCCTCTCCATGCCCTTGGCCAGCACTGAGATGCTCCTGGACAGCGGCTGGGCTTTCCTCAGTGGCTCTTCCTATCCATCTCCAGGAGCCCACAGAATGACCGCCTTGGTATCTGCCAGAACTTGCAATATCTGCTCCATCAGTTGTCATCACCCGTGTCCAACCCTATGAAGAAATAAAGTTTTTGTTTCCTTAGTTCCACTAGGCTCTTGTTGACTTTGCTCCAACCCAGGCTCCTCTGCGAGTCTCTCCTCCTCTTTGCTCCTCCGGCCACCACTACCTTGCATAAAGAACAGATCTTGACTCTAGACCAGAAAAATAGCAGTTCCAATTCCTCCAAAGGGGCCTGTAGGGAAACTTTATGTTGGGACAGGAAGAGAGGGGTACTGGTTTCAACCCCACACCAGTGAAAGACCCTATTTTCTCTGTAACAGTGTGAGAAATACTCTGACTAATGCCCGGAGTCTGGGAGAAGGTGGCTACCCCCATGAGAATATGAAAAGGTATTCCAGGATCCCCCCAAAGAGACAGGGAACGAGGAGGCAAAGAATCCAACACCTAGCAGAAAAGTTGTTGAGAGACCAGCGGAGGAAAGGAAGTCCTCAGGGATTACTATTAACTCAGTTTCTTCAATAAAGATCTGAGGACACAATGGTGAGAGTTAAGACTGAAGAGGTGGTGGATGCAGGGGAGAAATGGTGCTGGGGCTCTGTATGTGAGTGTCTGGTGCGAGAAAATTGGGAAGAAGAGGAAAGTGGAAGTGAGAAATGGTGCTTGTTCTAAAAATGAAGATAATCATAAGATCAAACATTTACTTAGCACTTACTATGAGCCAGGCCTGGTTCTAACAGCTCCTCAATTAATCTTCCCAACAACCCTGGGATGTAGGTTCTCTTATTATCTCATGTCACAGGTATGGAAACGTAGTTGTCTTACATTTTCTTGACTTGCTAAGGTCACACAGCAGTCTGGCTGGAGGACCATCAATGCAACGACCATAGTATTCTGATTTGCTTCAAAGCCAGTCAAAATTCTTTCTAAACAATTTTTTTAGCCTAGCTCAATGTTTTTAATATTGTTTTTTAAACTATGCATTAAGATTCCAAACCATGTAAGTTGTAACGGCAACAGGACCCCAACTGGGGAAAAAAGGTGTTGTTCCTGATTTTAGACAAAAGTGCAGCCATCAACTGACCACATCTCCTCACCCACTATGGAAACCATCACTTTACATGTGAACCAAGAGTGGCATTTCCCATTGACTGCAATTTGCTTACATAATGGTAAAGCAGAAATGATCAGCCAGATCTAAGCCAGAATATTTCTTAAAACTAAAGAATCAAAGAAAGATTTTTTAGACATCATAGAATTCCACTTGTAGGTACATACCCAAAAGAACTGAAAGCAAGGACTCAAACAGATACTTGTACACCCATGGTCATAGCAGCACTATTCACAATAGCCAAAAGGTGGAATCAATCCTCATGTCCATCAATAGATGAATGGATAAACAAAATGCAGTATACACATACAATGGAATACTACTTAATCTTAGAAAAGAATGAAATTCTGATACATGTTACATCATGGATGAACCTTAAAAACATTATGCTAAGTTAAATAAGCCAGACACAAAAGGACAAATATTCTATGATTCCACTTATATGAAATACCTAAAGCAATCCAGTTCAGAAAGACGGAAAGCAGAACAGAGGTTACCAGGGGCTGGGAGTGGGGAATGGGGAGTTACTGTTTAATGGGTACAAAATTTCTGTTTGGGATGATGAAAGAGTCCTGGAAATGAATAGTGGAGATGGTTGCACAACACTGTGAATATACGTAACGCCACTGAATTGTACACCTAAAAATGATTAAAATGGTAAATTTTATGTTATGTATATTTTACTACAATAAAAAAAGAAGTATTAAAAAAGACCTAATAGGGCCTGCAGTAAAATCAAACTGACAAAACGCCACGTGAGTACATGGAATTATACATATTTTGAAGCCCTTTGGAAGTGGCAAACTAGAAACCAATTTCCCCTCCAATGTTTATGGAAATCAAATTCCTTAGACTTTAGGAAAAAAATGTAAGAAAGACAGTCCAAGAGATGGGGTTGATGTCAGATCTGCTCTGAAATATACAGCACTGCTCAACTGGCTGAGATGGGATTATTGGAAGACGTGGATGCAGGTATGGGACTCACACTATAGCAGGCTCTGGATTCGTGACTACGGACAGGCTGTTTGCTACCCCGAAGTCAAGAAATTCTTCTGTAGTATTCAACCAGGAGCATAAAGGATGTTGAGTCATGGTTCAGATAACACACACACACACACACCACATAACACACACATGCACACACATAACACACCTATGAACACACACACGTAACACACACATATACATACACACTCTGATGTTCCAGGATGGAAAAACTTGGCCTCAAAGTAAGATACGTTTCCATTTATTTGAGAGCCCTAGTGTTTAGCAGACACCGGTATAGGTTTTATAAACTCAGGAAAGACTTCAGCCTGGTCAAAACCTTAGGTGTGGATATGGTGGATTTGGTGGTGGCCAATGGGCCTGTGAAACCCCCACCATCTGTTCTTGCTCCACTCTGCCCTCCCCATACCAGGCTGCTCAGTGTTCTCCCCTCCTTCAGCATCTCAGAGCCCAGCCCTGCCTGCACAGTGTGCAATGATCTGACTTATAATGAAAAGAAGAAAAAGGCAGCAGATTCTCCCCCACTCAAGGGAAGCCTGTGGGCCTCCAGCAGAGAAGGAGTCAGTAGCCATCAGGGAAAGGCTGGAGCTACACCCTCCCTAGCCTCTCCCCCTGCCACCCTGTGATTCTGCAGTGACAGGGCATCATCAGCCCCGTGCAGGTAACAGTACACCTTGCATGCATCACTCTTTCAGGCCAAGCATCACTGAGGAAGGTGCCTCCAACTCCCCACCCCAGGAAAGGGCCCATGTCTGTGCAAAGGATTCTAACCCAGGTGTTCCCCAGTCCAGCCTCCTGAGACAGGAAGGAGCTGGTTCCACACCGAGGTAGGGAGGGGAGTATGGCCTCCTCCCCTTGCTGTGTCAGACTTGGGCACTGGAGGTAAATGCCCACAGAGGCTTGTGCAGTTACAGCACTAAAACACCACATTTTACTGGGTTGGTTCCACATTTGCCCAACACAATCATGAGATCCTAGAAAACAGTATGAGTGCTCTTGGTATTGCCAACATTTTGCAAGTGTTTGGCACATATTCATACACTGAGTGAATCAGCGAGAAACAGCAGGTCTGAGGAAGTTTGAGACACAGTAAGGGCTTCCCGGGTCCTTCCTGGGGAATCTCTTCACCCCTGTCCAGGAAGATGCTGGAGCCTGGGCATGAGGAGGATGTGATGGGCTGTGCCTCACACAGCAAGTCCCCAGACCCAGGATAAAAGGGCTTCTCCTCTTTTTTGTTGTTTCTATACGTGATTCTTACCTCTCTGTTCTATAACTTTGACTTTGTTAGGCTAAAAGAGCATTTGTTCCCCTCCTGACCTCAGATTCTATTACAAGCACTCCTCCTTTAATTTGTCATTGAAGGACTTCTTCAGTCTCCTCACTGCTTCCTAATTCGTGGATCTTTTCATTGGCTACAAAGCAGAGGGAGAGGGTGGTGGGCAAAACACGGTAGTGACCAAAACTGAGGACAGGTAGTGGGATGGAGGAGAGTTGAGAGGCATCTGGTACACAGCTGAAAAACTAAGTAGTTTGGGACAGAAACGGCAGTGCTTGACTGGGGGTTGAGAGATTAGGGAAAGGAAGCAATCAAAGGTGACCCTCCGGTCTCAGGTTTGCACTGGGGTGGACTGCGGTGTTATTTCATCCCTGAGCTAAAGAATACAGGATGAAATGCTGCTTCAGGGGGATTCTGACAAGCCCAACCTTAGATGTTAAGCATGAAGTCTTTTTAAGATTTTCATATGTATAGAATGCTTAGAATCACTGTAGCGGTAAGAAAACTAAGAACTTTAGCGTCAAATACACTCAGATTTTATTCCCAATTCTGCTTTTTTCTAATTGTGAGCCTGGACAAATTATTTAACTTCTCTGAGCTTCAGTTCTTCATCACTAAAAGGATGATACTTTCAGCACCTGCCTCACAGTGAGTGAGTGCTGAGAAAAATAAATAAGATAAAAGTGTCAAAGCACAGTATCGAACACATAGAAAGTGTTTAGTGAATGGTAGCTTCTATTATTATTATCATTATTGTTATTATTATTATTAAAACATCAGCAATTGGTCAGTAAGTGGAATTCAATTCTCATCTTCTCCCATCATGCCAGTTCTTCCTTCTGACTTCCCAATTTCTGTTATTGACACCATGTCTCAGTTACCAGTCCTAGAAACCCCAAAGCCATTTTGGGATTCCCCATCTTTCACATCCAGCCAACCCCCAAGCCCTAGAGAGCCAGTGAGTCAGCCTCCAGAAGGACTCACACATCTGCTCTCTCCTCTTCATCTCCAAGGTCAGTAGCCTTTCTCAGGTCTTTCTCGTGTCTTGCCAAACAATGCCCATAGCCTGTCTCTCTCTCTCTCCCCTCTGTACTTTCCAGTTGGCCTAATGGCAGATAACACTTCCAGTAGCTCAGGTCATACTTCTCATCGAAAACTTCCAATGAGACTCCGTAAAATGAAAACAGGCTTAGCACATTCCAGGAGCATGGGACTAGCGTCGGGAACATGGTAAGGAATGGGGAGAGCAAGATAGCAGAGCCAGGCAGACAACGCACCGATCACACAGGACCTTGAAGCCAAGGTCAGAAGTTTGAGTTTTATTCCAAATGCTATGGAGTATTTTAAAACAGAAGGACAGTCTAATCTGATCTATGCTTTTCTTTATTTTTTAATAATTGGCTTCCATGCGGAAGGGGTGAGGACAAGAATGGAAGCAGGAGGGAACCTAGAAGGCTACCACAGTGCAGCTTGAAGGAGATGATTGTGACAAAAGTGAGGCAGTGGAAAGTGGAGATGGAGAAATCAAGCCGATTCAGGAACTATTTAGGATGCGCACTGGACAGGACTTGGTGGTGGATTGGATTTGGGGGAAGGGGTGTCCCCGGGAAGAGAACAATGAAGGCTGAATCCTCTCTCTCCTGAGTTCTAAATGACAAGTGCTCTGGCAGGCTGGTGGTCTTCCTGCTTGGAG